AGCCAGGACGTGTCACTTGTGGGCAGCATGTTCCCAAAGAGCCCGGGGCTGCAGGTGCTTGGCTGCCCGAGCAGGCAGGTTTACTCAGGGACATTTAAGAGGGTCAGGCAACACTACACGCCAGTGGCACTTTCAGGTCAAGAGGATCGAGGAGGCTGCCAAGGGTCTTTGTTTTTGCCAGTTCTGTTGGCACAGAGATCAAGGAAAAAAAGAGGGAAGAAGAAAACAGAAAAATCAGCGAGCAACACCCTGAAGCTACGAGCTCCTTGACTCACACCAGCAGTTGCACAAGGGCCCGTGACACCTGGCCTGGAGCTGATGGGCTCCAGCACGGCACCCCGAAGCCAAGAGGACAGCAAGAAGGCGAGGGCAGCCTGGGGTAGTGCATGGGGTAACCTGCAACAGCCTAACTGAGCCCATCCTGCGTGACGGTCACAGCACCGTGCCACGTCCCTGCTGAAGGAGGGACAGGAGGCAGAGGCACGCAGTGTGCTGAGGCATCCTTTGGACCAGCACAGATGGCTGGATTGCTGCAGGGACCCCAAATTTGGCTGCAATGCTGCTCGGCTGATGACCCAGGACCCTTGTTGATCACAGGCAATGGAAGCTGGTCCGGGATGCTCTCACCTGGAGGGGCTGGAGGTGGCTGTAAGCCGAGCGAGCAAGCCCCTGGCAGCAGGGCTAAAGAAACCAGCCACGTTGCTGAACTGCCACCACTAGTGCACGCGGTGAATGAACATGCAACTTTGAAAATGCACTGAATATCCTAGACTGCACTGGAAAGGCATCCTGGAATAGCCCACAGCCCTGCAGGCTCCAGCACTGGGGCCCTGCAGCGCTGAACAGCCCTGCTCTGCCCTGCTGCCTACCTGCACACCCTGCAGACAGCCGGCAGCTCCCCCTCGTGCCAGCAGAGGCGACACACCACAGGCAGGGACAGCAGCCTGAGCGTTGTGTGAGTGCAGAGCCAGAGCTGGAGAGGAAGCCCCATGATGAAAACTAGAATTTGGCAAAGCCAGCCAGCCCCCTGGGTGCCAATGTATAGGGAAACAGCTAGAACTTGCAAGGAACTGTGTCCACAAAAGCCAGGTGGCCATCTGTAACCTGCCTCCTGCCTGTCCCTGGGTCTCTGGCTATGTCTCACGGGCTGGAGCATCACCTCTCCAAATCCACACGGATTCCCAGCCACCCACAAGGGCTCTAGTCCATTCTTGCTTCAAGAACGGTGATTTCAGAAGAGGAGACTGCTTGTTGGGGGACAGCAGCTCTTGTAGCCAGTTCCTGCCAGCTCCTGGCAGGCTGCTTTGCTGAGGAAGAGGACTGGAGGAGCACCAGTGACTCAAAACAAACAGCAAGGCAAGCAGCTGAGCTCCTGGGGAAGGCAGGGGTGCTTCGTGTTTATCTGAATGTGGAACACAGCACCCCAAGCTGCCTGCTGCATGTGTGCTCCCCTAAATACACAGCCACCACTGCTGGGGTTATGGGGTGTGACGGGCCCCCTTCTGTCAGCTCAGCGGTTTGCATTGCTGTGGCTCTCTTGTGATGCACGGGAAGGGGAAGCCAGCAGCTCTGCTCCTGGACCTGCACTGCACCACGCTCTGGAAAAGCACCTACATATAAATCCTCCCCAGAATCCTGGGCTCTGCTGGAAGGAGATGCAGACCCCGGAGAGCCCCAGCAGGGCAGGATGGGCTCTACCTGGCTCCTGCTGGACCCTGACCCAGTGACCAGCGTGCCACCAGGGACACAGCGAGGGCAGGGCGCGGGGTCACAGCCGCAGAGCGGCTCGCATGCTTGCCGTGTATTTTTAACGCCGCTTTGACTCACGGGCTCCAAAAAGCACACGGATTCTCCAAATGCTTTTTAGCTCTTTCCCCGAACACCCTCGGGGCCCAGAATAGCCCCAACTACCCCCCTCTGCCATCAGGTTCCCGTTGCAGCCTCCTGGTGAGAGCGAGATCTCCATTCCCAGCCTGGGGAGGGAAGCAGCAGCCGGCCAGAGGAGGGGCACGGAGCAGGGTTTGGTTACAGGCAGGGAGAGGCACACAGAGCCTGCTGGAAGCGCTCCTTGGCCCCAGGGTTGCCTGGGCTCCCAGCAAGCCTCCTCTCCACCCACCTCTCCTTTCTGCTCCAAAAAAGGATCACTCCCTGTTACATAATGGGATGAGCGCCCCGCTCAGATGCGGGCTTGCAGACGCGGCCTCCCTTTTACTTAACAATACCTTTTTCGGTCATACTGCCGTCCTCGCTGCCGAGCTGACAGTCAGGGGAGACGGATAGTGCCTGGCTCCGGCTACTTCTGCTACAGAGAGGAGAAAGAGGACTGTAGAGGGATGCTGCCTGCAAATGGAGTGGGATGGGGAGCTCTGGCTCACCAGCAAGGTAACGCCGGGCACTTCGTGTACAGCACAGGGGTCCTGTGGGCACCACATACCTTAGAGATCAAGTTCCCAAAGGAGAGGGAGCTGGTTTTCTGGAGAAATTTGACCTCTCTGTTGGTGTTTCTTTGATTTCTCTGCTCTCACATGAGGCACACGTGGTGCACAGCAGCAGCAATGCCCATGGAGGAGGCTGCAGGAGCAGCACGTTTCCCAGTGACCAAGCAGAGAAGCCTCCAGCAGCAGCCTCCTCCTGACACCCAAAACGCTGCTAGGTCGGTTTTCCAAAGCCCACCACGTAACCCAGCTGCTGATAGGAACAGAGGAGGACTTCCTATCAGGGAGGGATGACTCCACTTGTGCTTTGTAATTAGCCACAGTTAGGGACAGGCTGTGTGACACCTCATGTTTGTCCACCTCTTCTCAGAGACAGGAGCAATGATGCCTCGAAGAGCACACGCTCCCAAACAGCTTCGGTATCTCTCCACCTGCACAGGGTACCCCGACACAGTGCCTGCCTGAGAACCTGAACGAAGGCTGTGCTAGGTCCGGCCTAGCAATGATTAAGTTGCCAATGCTTAAATGGAACAGAAATGCCACCTTGTGCCCTTAGACAGGCAGCTGGCATAAAGTCTGAGCCAGAGAGCTCTTGATCTGCTCAGGGCAGCAGGGACCACTTGGGTCAGCCACGAGGACCCATCTCAGCCCCCCTCCTGCTCAGGTATCACGAGAAGGGCCAGGGTGCCATGGCAAGCTGGCAGGGAGCCCTCCTGTTCCCACACCTCCTCCACTGCAGGGATACCTACATCCCTCATCTCAAACATCTGCCTATGGCACTGAGCTCTGCTCTCCTACCAGATCACAGCTTCTGTAACAGGCAGATTTGAGCTGCTCCCAGTTCTGTGCCCACTACAGCGCCCTGCCCCTTGCGTGGGCTTCCAGGATCACTGAAAACCTCTCACCTTGCTCCAAGATAAGACAACCTCTACCCTGATACTCTTTCTGTTCAGGGGACCAAAGCACAGCCCTCAGTGTTGGGGTGGCAGCTGCAGCAGCAGAAAGAGGAGTGGGGGGTATTCCCTGCAGCAACCCCCGAGTAACGCCGTCCTGGCAGCAGGTCAGCTCTCCCTGCCAGCTCCTTTCCTTCCCCAGCCCCTTCACACCAGACACGCCGACTCCCGATTGCTCCAGAACAAGCCCAGAGCCAGTGTCAACACACAGCTATCAGCACAGACACACACAGACCCAGGGACACGTAGTTAGCTCAAAAGGTTCTTTTTACACCCTGCGGGAGGTCCTGAGCGTGGCACCAAGGGCTCGCAGGACCTCCCAGTCTCCCTTCCAGCCAAAAGTTTGCTTGCATACTGCACTTTCAGGTTCCCCCAGAGCCACCGAAGCAGAACCGCTACAAACACATTCATCCTCATGTTCCTCTGCTAGCACAACACGCAGAGCTCCTCCACCTTCCAGGGCCAGGCATGTGCTCTGTGTATGACAGCTTCTCTAGTGGAAAATACCAACGCCACGTGTCTGTGCTGCAGGCCCCCTGGGTGACGGGGACACTGCTTATTAGGAGGTGATGACGTGCATGCTCAAGCTCTCATACCTCCGTGCTTACACACAAGGATTGGGTTCCAGCTCACTCCCCAAAACACCAAACCCGTTTTGGAGAAGCGGGAACGACACCCTACCTCCTCCCACGCAAGGAAACCGACTTGGAGTGACAGCCAGCAGCCCCTGACCTCAAAGTGCTTCGGCAACCTCTGCTGAGGGCAGCTCAAGTTACCACCCAGGTTACAACGTGCTACCCTGCACATTCTGACGCCTGCTTTCAACATCTCCTATAGAAGACAGGGTGCAGGAGTGGGAAAAACACTGCTCTGAGGCTCCCCCTAGCCAAAGTTCTCCTGGGAAGGCTTATCTTTTACTCCAAAGGACCACATCCTCAGCTAGCGATAGTCACCGACTTACAAAAGAAAACAGAAATGCTCTCTATTTGTGTGTGTTGGCCCAATGCCTTACCACACAGAGGCACTGGCCTCAGAAAAGCTTGGCAAGTGCATACCAGCTGGAAAGGAAATCTTTCCCTAATACATCTGTGGGTCAATGCCCAAGGCACAAGCATTATTGGCCCACTGCAGACTGGAGAGGAACACATCAGGGAGAGCAAAGACCCTGGGAGATTGCAGTCCAAGCTGTTACTTGACAATTCCCTGTTCCCTGTGCCTGTTTGCTCTCCTTTTGCAGAAAGAAAAAGCTGAGGCCCCAGGCTGCGGTAGACCAGTAGAAGCCATTTCCTGCCTGGAGGGCTGAGGAGATGGGTACACTTGCTCCTTCAGTGAGGTAGGAAGCCTCTCACTCACAGGGCTGGATCCTTCCTTTCCCCTGTGTTACGAGGCAGAAGGCTGTCCACTGGGGTCATGTTGCTGCTCACAGGGAAAGCAGCTTACCTTGCAAACCTCCAAGATGCTCACTGCACATACATATTACACCTCCTCTACAAGCCCCTGATGTTTGATGCAACAGAAAGTATTTATCTGCATTCAGATAGAATCTCTGGTTTAGTCTCACTTGAGAGGCAGTGCTGCCAGAGAGCTGTGAGGTTGGTCTCTGAGGCCATACCTTTGAATGAGGGTCCCAAAGAGCAGGTGAAAGACCTTCTGGATGTCCTCTGTGCAGAGCCAGCTCCAGTGATCCATCAGGAGCAGGCGCAGCAAGTCCAGGGCCAGGTCAGCCAAAGCTGTCTCTGAGTCTGCAAGGAGGAAGAGGAGGCTCAGATGAGGAAGCCAGCTCAGATCCTAGGCAAATATGGTAGAAAGCATCACCTGAAACCCACTTGTTTAGCCAAGAGCCTGAATGATGCTCTGCTTCCCAGCCTAACACTTCATGCCACGTGCTACAGCATAGCCAGCCTGGGGCTCCTGCCCTCCCAGCATCCTGCCCTGAGCACTCATTTCCTCTTCCATTCAAGCAGCACCATCCTTTTCTTCGAAGGGGCACACCAGAACTTGACTGCTCCAAGAGCAGCTTTGCTCAGTTCCTACTCGGTTCAGCTGAGGGATTATCAAGTCCCAGCCCATGCACAGGGATGGCAGCATGCCCAAAGCAGGTGAGATGAAAATACTGACTGCACATCGATAAGGAATATCTTTCCCAGTCTCCCTCAACAGCTTCCCCTGTTTCAAGGCTGTTTTCCAGGCGCAAGGCTCCGGTCGGTGTCTGTGGGCTGCCATCGTGTGGCAGGTCCAGGTCTCAGCAGGAAGACGTAACAAACATCTGCACACACCAGATGCATCAGTCCTGACAATAACCCCTGCGCATGCCGACGTATCCTGGGTGATGCTGACCGGGGACAGCAAAACCTTTCTTATTCCCAGATGGATGTCAAAGCCTACAGCACACATTCAGCTTGCTAAAGCGACCTGTATGCTGCTTGGCCCCAAAGCGTTGTAGCTGGGGTGCAGAACAAAGCTGTTAACACACCACAAACCTGCCTGACACAACCACTCCTAGGCCAGCACCCCAGCCTGCACTGCCACGGCTGCTCTGTCGGCAGGGTGAGTTACTGCACAGCAGCAGCTCCTGCTCTGCTGGTCCCCAGCACCTCATTTTTCAGCTGCTCTCCCCCTGTGGAGAGGCAGCAGGCCTGCTGGAGATAACGGGGAGAGGGATTCTGAACCCTGGCTTGCCTCCTTCCCTCCCTGCTGCTCACTACTAACTCCAGGTCGTTCATTTGGAGACGGCATCCGAGTGCGCTCAGCGCCTCTTCTCTGGGCCACGCACAAGTCAGTCCTTGCTTTGCCCTTTGAGCCTTGACTTCCCTGAGCTAAAAGCAGAGCAGGCTGTTTAGCATCACTGCAGGCCCACAGGAAAGGAGTCAGGATGAAGTTCTGTTTATTCCCATTAGATCCAAGCCTCCTTCCCCAGGGAGCTGCTGGCCAACCCCTCCGAGAGGTCACCCAGCGAGCAGACAGGGATGCTGGGTGCCTTCAGCCAGTCCCTCCCCACATCCATTCCCCTCATCCTGCCCTGTCTCAGCTCTGAGGCATCACAGACCTGCAGGGATTTGACATCAATTACACAGGATTTCTTTGAGAGTTCAGCTAACTTGGCCTGCCTGTATCTCTTGTCCTCTGCACGGAGCACTGACCTCCGATTCCAGTCCTGCTGCCCAGCAGCCCCAAAACAACTGCAGGCATGTGGTTCAAAGATTACAGGCCAGGCTGGTAGCACAGGCTAGGTTTCAGAATACCAGACCCATCTTGTCACAAGCATGTGCTTTCACTCAGAGCTTGCCAAACCTGAACCACTGGAGTGAAGTTTTTGGAAAGTTCCAGCTGATACAGCTTGGCTATTCCAAGAAGAAGATTAGAGAACATATTTTTGCTCGTGCTCAGGATAATCTTGTAACTGCTCTGAGAGGACAGAGGACCTCTGTGCTTCAGAGGAGAGATCTATAACCAGAAAGGGAACATTGTTCCTCGAACCGAGGTTACACATTTACTACTCCCACCAAATTCATCCAAACTTAACAACCTCAAATGTCCTTTTATAGTGTATGAACATATCAAGGCTAACTTTAGACTACCAAGAAACTGTTATTTGGCAATTTAACAGAGCCTGATTTTACAACATTAGCAATTTATGTAGCATGTCCTTAAGAAGTATCTCTGAAGTAACTGCAGCAAGTACACCAACGTGAAGATCTACAGTGGCAGAACCAAGCCAAGACCCAATTTGCTTCCAAGAGCAATAAGGATCTCCTAACAGGACTGGAAAAGACTCGGCTTGCCTTCTCTTTAATGAAGGTGCACCAGGCATGGGACCAGCTCCTTGTGCTCAAGACCCTGTGAGCTGAGCGTGCAGGCTCTCAGCAGGCAGCTGCTGCAGTACCAGGGGAGAGAGCCCGAAACAGGGCTGAACTCACCTGTGTCTGTGTCTGGATGTACCCCCTGTTCCGACGGGCCCAGCCTGTCTGCATCCTCCTGTGTGGGGCGTTCCTTAGCTTCTCTGCTTCCCTCACCCTCAGGAGCTTTGCTGGGGACTGCCTCCAGCAGCTTCTCCTGCTTCTGGATGAAGGACTCCATAGCAGCCAGTGATATGGTGCCAGAGGCCTACAAAAGCACCAGTGTTAGCACCACAGTCTCCACTGCTCAGACAGCCCCACCACCACCTGATTTGCAACTTGCTCTATCCAATGGCACAACAAGGGCTGCTCATTGCCCTTCTGCAAAGGCCTGGCATGTGGGAACAAGGCTGCAGCAACCACAGCTTTGTGCCCATGGATAATTCCAGGCCAGCATCCAAACATGGCAATGATTAGGATCACAGAAGGATCACAAAGAGGAATCTGAACTTACAGCGCTGCCCTCCCTCACGGAGTACACGATCCTGTCATGGGCTTCACTCACACTCAGCACTGGAGTGATTTTACTGGATGAAAACCTCAGCCTGGACCTGAAGAGGAAAAACACATCATGGTCAGGATTTTCTCCACGAGTGATGAGTTCCCAGTCTCAGCCAAAACCCCAAACCAGCTATGTTTGTCCAGTGTCAAGCCCAAGCTAAGAAGTCTGATTAGACCTAAACTGGTTCAGAAAAGCATCTGCCCCCAGGATAACTGAGAACTAGCTGTAGAACCAACCATGTAATGAAAGCTTTAGAGTGCTTTTAGCATTCTTAAACATTGGCATAACCAAGGCTTCCTGGTATCTACCACACACACTTTCTTCCACGGCTATTTGAGATAGAAGCCCACATGCAGATAGGTGCGAGCACATCAGCATATCCAGGAAAGTGTCCAGAAAACTGAGTTGAGACACTCAGCAGGATTGTGAAACCCAATTGTAAACACATATACAGAAAGGACGATGTGAAAGGGCATTTTGGACTTGGGACAAATTGTAAAAAAGTCTTTATCATGAAGGAATGTCCCATTCAGCCAAGAGATTTCAAAAGTTGAACTGCTTTTTTTTTCTTTTTTTAAACTTTTTGTCCAAAGCAGCTTTCCCTAGCAAAACAACTCTTTCCTGGAAAAAAAAAAAAAAAGTCATACTCATGCAGAAACCTTCCCTTCTTCTGTAAGGGAACAATCAGTGGCAAGCCCAACAGGGCTCATCACTGCAAGCAGCACCAAACAAACTCTTGGTAAGCAGAAGAGGTGCAATGACCTTTAATGTTACTCCTAAATAAATATTCAAACTTCTACTAGGAAAAGTGATGTGTCACTGCATAAAGCACATGGGAAAGGTAGGAGTAAGCCTCCGGGTAGACAATACAGGTAAAACTAGCTGGAACACTGCATGTTTTCTTCATCACATTTTGAAATCTGCCCTGAAGTGCTGTGCATGGAGTAATTGTTCTCACCAGCAGCAAACCAATGTCTCACAAGCTGTAGCTGTATTTTGCAGTGACTCACCGCATGTGTAGGTCATGTAAATGCTTATGGGTAAAAAGCAATTCTTCAGGAGCATCAACATCTTTCCCAGCAAATGCCACCACCTCAGCGTTCCCTCAGGAAGAAACCACAGAGAAACCTCGAGCAGAAATTGCTGTGGAAACCTTCAGCGTTCCTGGAGAATCTTTTACCCAAACAGGAACTCAAACACCCTTGCTCAGCATGTGAAGGAGAAAGCAACTCAACTAAAATATGACAGCCACAGATTATCCAAAACAAGGGAAGCATCAAGTCAGTACTTCATGTTGGAGCCAGCTTATTGATGAACTCCACATTCTACACGAAGCACAGGCGAAGCTGAAGGAGCCCTTACTTGTTAGCCTTCTTCCCATCTGTCTGAGATTTCCCATCCACTTCAGACTCGCTAAGATCTTCTGTGGGGCTCTGGGGCTCTGACCTGGGGAACGCTGTCTTCAAGGTATCCACAATGGCATTGACAACAATCTGCAAGAGCCAAGAGTTACATCAGTCATTGGTAGGGTTTTCCGGAATAAGAATCAGGAGTTTTAAGATTTGCTGTATCCCTATTTTCCATAAGGAGAAAAAAAAAAAAAACACACAAAAAAAACAAACAGCCCGAACTTTGAGACAGGCTCTGACCCTGTTTAGCTTAATGGCTTTCTGGGCAAGCTCAACCCAGTTACACAGAGTGCGTTTTGAGTTTTTTTTTGCTACTACTGCAGTAGGAATGGATATAGACGATAAAGCCCAAGAGGCAAATGCAAAAGGAGAGTCTGAGTGCAATCAAAAGAAGTTCACATAAGCAGTTTCCCACTTGTCTACCTTGTCTATCCTGGAGACAACAAAGGGCTTCTTGACGAACGCGATTCTGGCATCAGTGTTCAGGGCAAGGAACTCCTGCACCTCCTCGCTGTTGGCAATCTCAGGGACTGCACACAGTTGCTGCAAGGAAAGATAACAGCTTTAGGTCTTCTTTGAGTCAACTTCCACTTGTGCTTTACATGAGCAGACTAGGAAAACACCAAATGTGCTCCATTGTCTGTCAGTACAGAGCTGTCCTGATCCACTGCTTTCCAGCTCACAGAAAGCAACAGCTGCCAGCTCAAGGCCCTGCTACACGTAGAGGACAGTCCATTTGCCACCTCTGGCTGTCTGTCACAGACAGGGCTGGTTGCCCCTCTGTGGCTCTGCTCAAGACAGCAAGGAAGGGAAAAAAGTAGATATTCTCTGCCTGCACTTTCCCCAGTAATAGTAAAAATAAAAAAATTAGTCTAGAGGCTACTTGTGAAAATGAAACAAACAAAAAACAAGAGTTAAAAGACACCAGCAGCCAGTGCAAAAGCCCAGCTCTCAGGTCTAACAGATCAGCAGTGACCTGATCTCTGCACCAAAGGAGGGGGAATGGTGAGAATCACCTCAGCAGCCATGGGAGGCGGTGGACACCAAGCAGGCACTGGGCAAGTAGCTCACCTTCAAGAAAGATTCTAGCAGACTTTTTCTGGCTTCCACTTTATCGCTGTCCATGTTGCCAAATGGAAGATCAGGGAACAGTTTCTTTGGGCCTTTGATATCTTCAAATAAAACAAATGCATTAGCAAGTGCCGGAAAACTAACAGCTGTATCAAAATCTTAATGCTCTCCCACTTAATACCACCACTACAAGCTGCCCTGCTCCAGCCCAAGATAATATGCTTCCCAGACTAGGCTGACTGAATCAGGCCTTAAATCCATACAGAACCTGCATTCTGCTGGATGTTGTACCATCCCTGCCTTTAATGTCAAAGAATCAAGGACATCAGTTTAGTGAGAAGACTTGAGGTTAATTCCAAAAGCCCCAAAATTCTCAACAAAGCAGTTTTCCAACCCAAACCCCAAATCCATCAATATCAAAGGATTAAGTAGGAACATGTTAAATCCAATGATTTTTTGTTTTTAAACAGAAGTAATGGTAGACAAAAATATGTTTACTTCTTAAATAAAGCTAATGTCCAACACTTGCTTGTATACAAACAAGATACTTGCAGATACCCATTTCGATATTGCTTCTCACTGATAAGGAACAAAACTGCAAAAGCAAGCACTGTGATTTAAATGGGAACAAGAATGGTTTTTGTAACACTGGAATTTGCAAGCTGGAAAAAAAAAAATCCTCCAATCAGCTCTGCACAGGCAATGGAGGACACGACCATCATGAACCGCCCAGGCATGCCCTGACAGTGCTGGATAACCCCAGAGCAGAGAAGGAACACAGACTGGGGTGAGAGGAAAAAGGACTTTCACAGAAAGCTGATGCAGGCACTGACTTTTCAGGAACTTGCGGAGCTCCGGTTTCTCTTCCAGTCTGGTCTGGAGGTTGAGGAACTCCCGGTAGCGGCGGTTCACAGTGTGGTAGGCCATTTGCTGAAGGCTGCCCGTGCTGTCACCCTCCAGGGCTGTCTCGTACTGAGGAGGAAAGCAACAGTCATTAATCCTTACCCCAAAACAATCCTGATATACTGTGTTCGTTGCTGGCCCCACAACCCCCAAACCCCATGGAGCTCCCGTTCAATAATTTCTCAAGATTGACCCTTCATGCATAGCACACAAATCCCTCATGATGAAGGGACTGTGTAAATTGGGATATAAGATGCCAGAAGTCCCACGCAATGACTGGCCAAGGGTTGTATCCCCTTGTCCTGCATCCAAACAGCCACTGTCACCACGCCTGATCTTCCCCTGCTGCCAGACAAAAATCTTTAAGCTACAGAAAGCAGAAGCCCGTATCTCCAAACCCCAGTCCGTGCTGCCCAGCTGGGGCAGGGATCTTGAAAAAGGGAGAGGTGCCCAGGGAGCATTTACCTTGACCGTGTACAGGGTGTAGGGGTGGAAGCCAGTCCCGCTGTGCTCCCGGGCAGTGATGGTCCCAGTTATCCGCAGGTTCTGGATGACAACCGGCCCAGTCGGGGCTGTTGAGGGGCTCGAAGCTGAAGGTGCTGATAGGAGCTGTCGGGGAGGATGAGAGCAGGGGAAGAGTCTGCCCAGGGTCTGGGGGGCTTTGTGGTGGCACTTCTGATGCACCCAGTTCTTTCCCCAAGCTGCAGGGCCTCTGCGAGGAGGATTTCCTGGGGACAGGTGGGCTCTCCTCCTCTTTCTCCACTGCTGGATCGATTTGGATGTCAGGGCAGGAGCTCAGAACAAATGCAGAAGGGGGAAGCAGGCCAGCATCCACGCAGGTGCCATTGCTTTCCTCCAAGTCCCCCACACCATCCTCTGAAGTATCTGGTCCCTCGAGCACAGCGGGGGCGTCAGGGAGGGTGTCATCGAGACACTCCTTGGCAGGCGATGGTGCCAGCAGGTCCACATCCTGGCCAGGATCAGGTGCAGGGGACTCCAGCTCCAAACCCTCACAAGGGAACAGGGAGCCCAGGGCTTGTGGGCGGAGGAAAGGCACCTCTGTGCGACTCAACCCGCTCGCCGTGTCCCCTCCCTCCTCGCCAGCAGCCCCGGGCACCTCCGTGGCCCTCGGGGAAGGAGGCAGCCCTGCAGGAGCTGCATCTGGCTGCATGGCAAAGGACAAGCAGTCAGGCACCGGGGGCGCAGGAGGCGCCTCCTCTTCCCGGGGCTTTTTGGAGAAAGCCGCGACGAGCAGCAGGTTGATCCAGTCGGGATCGGCCATCTTCCTGACAGCGGGCAGCAGCACGTTGCAGGCCACCAGCTCCACCACCACGAAGCGTCCCGTCCGCGTCTCCAGGTGGGGCTGGGGCACCAACGCCTGCAGCAGCACCTCCACAGCGGCCCGGGTGTAGCCCACCTCTGCCGACGGGCTGCGGAGGGCTGGATGCGTGCCCGCTATCCGGCTGTACTCCTGCCACAGCGTCCGGCCGCCCTCTGGGGCATCCCGTAGGGCCTGGCAGGCCTGCAGGTAGCTCTGCAGGTGGTGGCTGCAGAGGAGGAGAAGGCGTCGAGCCAGGACGTTGCGATCCACCCGCCCCATCCGCCGCCTCAGCTCGGCGGCCAGCCCGGCCATGGCTTTCTCCACCTCATCCTCGAAGGCGCGCTCGGTGCTGACAGTGCGGTACCAGGAGGAGACGAAATCCCGCACCACCTTGCGGATGGTGCCGGCGATCTCCCGCTCCAGCTGCTCCTCGGCTTGCGGGCTGGCCGGCGAGGGTCTCAGGGTGCTGGCGAAGCGCTCCAGCCTCAGCCTCCAGCCCGGCCGGCTCAGGGCTTGGGGTCCCAGCCAGCTGCCCACGGCCGCCAGCACCCCACAGAGCAACCCCAGTGCCCGCAGGTCCAGCAGCAGGCGCAGAGCCAGCAGCCAGCCCAGCACCGCTGCCAGCACCAGCAGCTGCCGACGGCCCGGCCGCCGTGGGATGCTCGCCCCGCGGGACGGCATGGCAGGACGGCCACAGCGGGCTATGAGGTGCCTGCTGTGCTGGGGGGCTGCACAAGCACAACCCCAAGGGAGTGGGGTTCCAACCCACCAGGATCCTTATGGGGATACAAACCCAGGGAGAGGGGCTCTGGTCCTCTGGGATCCTTATGGGAATGTAGTAGTCAAGGAGCAGGACTCCAATTCACTGGGATCCTTATGGGGATGCAGACTGCAGGGAGAGGGGCTCTAACCCCAAGGGTGCTTATGGGGACACAGCCCCCAAGGAGAGGAGCTCCAAACCTCTGTGATTGTTATGGGGACACAGCCCTCAGGGAGGGGGTCTCTACTCCCACCAGAAGTCCCTTTATGGGGATGCAGATCCAGGGATCAGGGCTCCAAACCACCGGGATCCTTATGGGAACATAACCCTCAAGCAGCGGGGCTCCATCCCACCGGGATCCTTACGGGGACACAGCCCCAGGGCTCAGGGCTCCAACCCCCCGGGCTCTTTATTGGGCCACACTCCCCGGGCTCAGGGCTCCAACCCGCCGCCCTCTCCCCGCCCCACAGCCCCTCGTTACGCACCGGGCCCCCCGCTCCCACACACCAGCTCCTCGGTTCGGGGCCGGGACCCGGGGCCGGGGCCGCCCCACAGCCGGCCCTACACCGCCGGGCCGCCGCCAGCGAGCAGCGGCAGCCCGCCCCCTGCTCCGTCACTTCCAGCGCTCCCGGTGGCGGCTTGCGGCCCCACAGCGCCCCATAGCGCCCACAGGGCCCTCATGGCGCCCACAGGCCTCACACAGTGCCCCACAGCACACACCGGGTCTCCACAGCCCCCACAGGGCTCACACAGTGCCCCACAGAGTCCCCCCGCAGCGCCCCAAAGTCCCCACAGAGCCCCCGCCCGCCTCGGTGTGGGCCAAAAAATGCCTGCGCTTGACCAAAAAGTTTGATGTTAGTCCATAAAACAGCCCGGTGGTGGTGCACGAAGGGGGGGTCTGGCGCTGAGCAGCCTCACCTGGGCTGTGGCACTGTGACAGGGAGCACCCTAAATGCATCTAAACCCCTAAACCGTCCGGGTTCAGCACCAGACAATGGCATAAAATCGTATCAAAGAGTGGCTCGGGTTGGAAAAAATCAGCACCTCCAGGGATGGGGCATCCATAGCTTCTCTATGCAACCTGTGCCAGGGCCACACCAACCTCTAAGTGAAGAATTTCTTCCTAAACTCTAATCTAAACCTCCCCTCTTTCAGTTTAAAACCATTCCCCCTTGTCCCTGTCATTATCCAAGCAAAAAGTCACTCCCCTTCTCTTTTATAAGCCCCCTTTAAGTACTGCAAAGCCACAATGAGATCACCCCAGAGCCTTCTCTTCTTTAGGCTGAGCATCCCCAGCTCTCTCAGTCTCTCAGTCTTTCTTTTCTTTTTTTTTATTTTTTTATTTTTATTTTTTTTATTTTTATTATTATTTTTTTTGTAGGAGCGGTGCTAAAAAAAAAAAAAAAGGGCTGAGCTGTGATGGGCAGCTGGGCATCGTTAGCAGCCTGCACCCAGGCACTAATTGGGATGGGGTGGGGTGGGTCTTGGAGTGCCCTGAGGAGGGCTGGGGACCTGCTGGGGACAGTCCTGAGAGAGGAAGGTGGTGTGGCAGCAGGGGGCTCCTGCAGGAAGGTGAGGGGGGTATTAAAAATGTTTTTGGAGTCAGGGTGGGATGGGGTGTGTGTGGTGTGTTCAGAGGTGCCCTGGCTGCAAAATGGGGAGGCCTGGGGGACAAATCCCCATTTTGATGCCACCAGGAGGGGCAGTGGGGTGTTTGCTTGTCCTAAGGGGGTTTGTGTTGTGTGATCAAGCTCTGAGGGGCAGTTTGGGGCTGATAAACCCCCTGACTAAAGTGACCTCATAATTGTAGCTTTTGGTTCCCATATGGTGTGCACTGGCAGCTCTTTTTATGACGTGAGCAGCAAGGGGGAAAAACAAAAACAAAACAAAATCATCAACCAAACAACAATAAAATAAAATAAAGAAACAAAGCCAGGGGCAGGGAATGCTCCTGGCCTGCAGCTCAGCAGGTGCTGGGCTGGGTTTGGGGTTGCTGTGGTGGGGGTCAGCCCAGCAGGAGCTGTGTGTCGGGGGTCGTGCTGTGCTCTTTGTTTCTGGTGCATGCCCATCTCTGCTTCCACGTGTTGTGGTGTAAATGCTGTAACAGAATGGTATGTTGGGTGGCTGGGAGTAAATGATGAAGCAGATCTGATTTTTTTTGGCAAGTGAACAAAATGCTGGTCACGCAAATCTTGCCACCTCCTTGGCATGCTCAGAAGTGCAGGCATGCAATGGAGAGCTTGAGCTCTCTGGGCAGGTGGGGATTAGCACAGCTGAACCCAATTTCTGAACCCAATGAATTGGCAGAGCCCAATTTCTCCTGCTCTACTGCTAAACACCTAAAGGCCCCAGCATACATGATGCTGGAGCACTGCATGCTTACAGCTTTACAGTGCCTCAGCTTCCCCTGTGCAGGAGGAGCAGTGCTTGCCCTGTCCATGGGTACATCTTCCTTGACAGGCCACGGGACTTCTGGCTGTGAGATTTCTGAGACTGCTGGCTGTTGCTTTTCTCTGTTTCTCCTTAAAATATTTCAAGTGTGCTCAGCAGAGCTGGGGGTGAGCCTGAGGGGTGCATCGCAGTGCTTGGGAGATACTAAATACATCTCTGCTCTGAATCGCACCTGCTGGGGCACAAACCCTGTAATTCCTCCTACTTTCTCCTGATACCTTTGTGCTGCTGAAGGATTGCAGCCTGTGGCTGAGGCCTCTGAATCAGAAGAGCTCACGGAGTGCAGCTTTTGCAGGCTTCAGCATTGAGCTGCCAGCCCTTACTGTAGGGTATGGGAGCTGGGGAATGGCAAGGTGCTGGAGTGAACGCTGTGGTGTTTTAATCAGGCCCCCAGCAGTGACAAACGGCCCCGTTACACACCGTGAGCTGCTTTTTATTGCAGTGGGTCTGTCTGCAGGCTGGAGCTCCTCCGTGCCATATAACCATGTGGAGAAAGGGACCCGCGGGGAGCCGTTGTTCTTCCATGGTGGAAGTTGAGCTGGGAAGCATGGCCAATTAAAAAGATTAATATATAACCTGTACAAACTGAGGAATCAGACAGCTAATTATTAATGGATAAATGCAGAACAGAGCATGTGGTGTTAGCGGGGCAGGGAGCGAAGTGCTGTGCTGATCTGAGGAGGTACGATGCCCTAGGGCTGGGAGCCTCCACGTGTTGCCTTGGCTGATCCCTGGTGCTAAATCCCCCAGCTGGGGTGGCATCGTCTTTCTTGAGCACCCAGGTTCATTCCAATCAAAAATCTTCCTGCTCACAACCCTGGGACCGGGACCCCCATCTTAGTTAAATAGTGCCTGGTTTAACAGGCCGCTTTGGGGAAGGGCGGTACCCCTGTGACTGCTCTGGGAGCTGCTTTCTGGAAGTTACAGCTGCCTGCAAGTTTTAATGGGGGCGGATGTAAATGATGCAGAAAAAATTAACTGGCTCAGGTATGCTGTCTGCTGGAGCTCCTCGTGGGGCCATAAAACTCGCCGTGTCGCTCCTTTGTCTGTGGCGGAGGCTTTGATGCCACAATTCTGCTGTTGTGGAGGAAGGATGGCTGCACAGCCCTGCTGCTGGCTGGGATGAGGACAAATATGTGCAATTCCCCGTTTTGACAAGAATTTCCTATGTGGGAAATAACTCACGGTGCAGTTCCTCTTCTTGCACATCAGGCACAAAGGAGGCGAACGCGTGGCGAGGCGCTGTCAGAGTGGATGCCTTTACCATGGGGCTTATTTCCACTCTCTTCTCCCCCAGAAAAAGGCAGGAACAGGTTGCTGGGATGGATGTGGAAGGCAGCTCACATAAATCCCATCCTTGATCATTCCCCATTGTGATATTGGGGCTGTTGCTGTGCTTGTTGGAGGACGAGGCTGTTCAGCGTGCAGCACAGCAGTGCTCCAGCAGTCGGGGCTGCATAAATAACCACGAGTAGACGGAGTTGCTCATTAAGTATGAACTCGGGGGTGAAGTATAGAAGTCTTAGGCACTGAACCCTTCTTCTGTGGACTTGGAAGAGGGGAGCGTGGAGCTGTCAGGATGATTTTTGTCTGATATGATCTGGAAAGCGTCCCCAGCACAGCCCTGGCAGGCTGGTTGTAATGTCCTTTTGGTGTTTACCCCGAGCATTGGTGCTTTGCCAGCTGTTGTTGAGCGCTCATTCCATCCCCTACCTGCATCCCTCCTTGCCTGGATGTTGTGGAAGACTGGCCCCTTGCAGTTGCATCCCGGGGGTGTTTTTCTTCTGCCTGTTTTCCTGCCTCCTTAGGAGCCCAGAGTTATTAACGTGAAGACAGGCTGCATGGTGTCTGGAACGAAAAGGCCATGGTGGGACCCTGGCTGCTGTAGAAATGCTGTAATTTGGGCAGTCCTTTGTCTCCCGTGTCTTCTGTAAGTGACCAAATGAGGCTGTTGTTGCTGCTCTGCTGGCTCAGAGTCTGGTTTTGTGCTTCCTGGCCGGCCACGTCCAGCTGGAGGGGGCTCTGGGAGCAATTCCTCCCTCCTGGATCCCAATGGATGTTTTGCTCTGGGACAGCTCTGAGACCTTCAGGACGTGAACCACACATGGTCCGTGCTCTCTCATCACCCCTGGCTGTGCCCTGCTGGGATGAAACATCCCGGCAGCATCCTCCGCGTGGCGTGATTCACACACTCCTAGCACATAAATCTAGGAAAGTGGATTTGGGGAAGAACTTGCCTGCCTCCAGTGCAACTTGCCTTTAAATTATTTAACAAGCTTCTTAAGCAACTCAGCCATTTTGCATGGAATTTGTCAAGGCTCCATCAGCTATATACAGTGCAATGTGACAGCCATACTTTTATTACGAACAGTGTATTAATCTTGGAATAGTGCTATTTGTTTTCCTCTCTTGCTTTTATGGTGCTTAAAAGCATGTATCTTCTCCTGAAAATCAATAACTAAAGCTATGAATAATAAAAAACACTGCAGTGAATGGCTCATAGAGATCCTATGGCTGTAAGTTGCAGCAGTAATGACTCTGTTTGCTATCCATTAAGTACGTGAACTCAGAAGAATTATGCAGATTATAATAGCTGTATCAACATAAGTATGTTTTGCTGATAGACTTTCCTGATTGGATCCACGGGATATAAGCCTGCTAATCCCCTGTGCAGAAGACCTGATTATATTAGAGTGCTTTGCAGATCTGCAGATAGAAAGTTAAGAAACAATTAAAAATGTTGGCCGGTGTGTGGGATTTCTCAGAAGCACTCCCGTTGCTGCTGTGTTTGTTTCTCTTGAAGCAGATGCATTTTTTTTTTTTCTCCATCTTTGGTGGAAGCCAAAAGAGCCCAGCTCCGAGTTCTGCAAATGTGCATCTGCAAAATGACGGATGTGCAAAAAAGTGGGATTTGCCCCATGAACAGCAAATGCTTGTCTAAGTGGCCACCTGCACCTATGCATGCTGCCTGCATGTGGGGCTGCTAATTGCATATCTGTGTGCCATGGACCCTTTCTTGCTCCCCCCCATGCCCGCAGCCTTCCAGAGATCTGTTGGCTGAAGCTAATAATGGAGCTGCAATGAAAGGAAAAACAGCCTGTAATTAAAAAATCTGCTTGCTGTGCACTTGACAGTCTTCAAAGTCGTACAATTTTGTATGTAAAACTTTGCATGTAAGATCTGCTTATTAATATCACCTTGCTGCTGTAGTGTGTCACCTCAGGAGATGACAGTAAGCTCTACAAACCCTGCTCCACTTCTTTTAACAATGCTTCAGATTTCTTACAGGTGGGGAAACTGAGGTGCAGAGACATGACAGATCCTGCTTGTTCATCTTTCTAAGCTGTGCTGCTTCCCTGATGCTATGTAATGGCTTAAACAAGAGGAAAATTTTCCACAGTGTGGGATGTAGGGGAAGGGTAATGCATCTAAATTCCCCATCCTCCTGTCTAAATCTCCTTGGCTGTGTCTGTTCTCGTGCTGCCGTGGGCTCTTTGGTCGCGAGCTCCTGGTGCCTGACGAACACCTTGGCTCCCCCCTGCCTTCTGCAGGGATGCCTGGAGAGGTTCTGGCAGGAGCAGAAAGGAGGTCGCAGCACATCAGGACTCAGCAGAATAGAAATGATCCCTCCAGTCAGCACAGACACATACACAATTCTGAAATACACTTTTTTTGGGGAGTAGGAGTGGTGGGGAGATGAAAGTACCTTTCCACCAGGGTATCTTCCAGCACCTCTGCTCCATACTGAGTGATCCCATGGGGAGGGAAGAGCAGCCTCCTGTGTTTCTGTGCTCATCCCAGTTCTCTTGTTTGCAGCACAGCTCCTTAGGGCGGTGGGGAAAGTCAGACCTGGGAGCTTCATCTCCTCTGGGTGAGGCTTGGACAGCGGGAATAAGTGGAGCGTGACTTTTGTCCTTGCATCTGGCTCCCAGCCAGCACCCAGCTTGAACTTTTTCCTAAAATATGGTCAAAAAAAAAAAAGCAAAAGGAAGTTTAGTGCTTGATGGTACCACAGGACAAACAGGTCTTAATGATGGCTTGAATCCCATCTGGGATGTGCGTGCTCTTTATTGTGATTTGCAAGGGAAGGGGATGCCCTTTCCAGGGCAGCAGAGCTGGAG